TAATTACTATTTTTTCTTTACCCTTTTCTTTTTGTTCTTTTTCTGGCGAGAGACTTTGATTGAAATCAGACTCTACTTTTGTTCTGTTTAAACTAATAAGAAATGAATTGGTTGGCAGACATCATAAATTTTGCTGGAAGACATTTAATTGTGATGAGAAGCTATGTAAATCTAATTCAGTGATTGGTTTACATATGAGGGGGAAAATACAGGAAGCCGCTTAGAATATTAGTGCCTTTTGTAGTGGACTTTTATTGGTGACTCAGCAGTTTCATGGGAAGTATGAGACTTTGCAAAATTGATTTGAAGTATAGCATATGAATAGGTGATTTATTGCTCGCATGTCACAGAGCTGACCATGCAGCCCATTGAGACAGCTATAATTTTTTACTATTGACAGAGTTGGGTAGTGCCACCTGACACTTCCAATTATAAGGCCTTTTATTTAGTTGCTTATAACTTTTGCCAATCTTTGATGGTTCCGACTGAAATTTTCACTGCTTGGTGTCTTCCTGGGGATGAATTTTGTTTTTGGAAAGTTTCAGCCAAAACAGTTCTTCTGTTTGCAACAGCAAGGCTAATGAAAAATGTGTTTTGCTTGTGTTAAAATAATCTGGCAACCTTTCTTTTGATGATCCCCATGCTTTGAAGCATGGGGTGTGAAACTTGGCAGGGGGGATGATAGTTTTTTCCATCAGGATATGCTTTTTTTTTATCTCCCCATCCATCCAAATTTATAAGCTATGCTATAAGCCTATGAAAAAGCACTATTTGCACAGACTTACTAGAGATGTCTCAGATGTCAGCAGTTGCATTCTCTGAGGATTGTGTCCACACAGAGAATGGTCAAACCTGGAGCTGAGCAGGACTGTCTACATGATTGCAGTCCTGGGCTTCTGATGGCCATGTCAGGGCTGGGTTCGGACAACTGAACTGAGAACAGAAAGCGTGTTGCTTCTGAGCCCTCAAGATTTCAGTCCTGCTGTGGGTACCAGTGCTCATAATGTATATTGCAGTGTATATACATATAAATACATTGCAAACCAGAAAACTGCATTAAAAGAATCTAGGTTACAAAATCAAACACTAAAAAGTTAGGAAATGTGCTATCTTACTGCATACTCTTTATGCATGTTTATCATAATAGCCTTTCATTATGTAATTCCATGCTATTTCTTCCACAGGACCCTGTCCTATTTAGGGCACAGGATAGGCCTGCTCTAGGAATGGTCAAGGTTGTTTAGTGAAAGAGATTCCATCTACTGCAGGGGCTGGAAGCTGTGGATTGAATGAGGCAGGAGAGGCAATCACAATGTTGAAAGGGATGGTTTTCTGGCTAGGACAGTTGGATGCTGCTCTGCAGAAGCAGACTCTGTTCTTCCTATCGTCATAGAATTCTTATGTGATGCTACGAAAATCACTTAATTTAAGATTTTCAGAAGTGGCCACTAACTGTTTGTTTTCTGGTATGTAAGTTGAGACTAGGAGATATGATTAGTACAATGGTTCTTAACCTTTTTTGGACTTGGGGCACCTCTCCATAACTTTTGTGAATCAAGCGGAACCCGATTTTAAAACTAATTTATAGATTATAGTGTTTCCTCCTTGTAGAGAGGCTGGGCAGTGCAGGTGGGATGTCATTTAGGCAGGGACAACTCTGAGCCTGCACTTAACTGCTTATCCTCCTACCTCACTTATATCCTCACACCTCAAGGCCCCAGCACCCTGGTTCCAAATTACTGGACAAGTAGAATAGCTAAGCATACACAGCTACAACAGAAGTCGATAGGAGTTGGTCTTTGAACTTATGGGCTGTGTCCAGATGAGCAGGAGCATGTGCTTGCAGCAGTACAAATTTGTGCTGCTACTTTGTGCCTCAGCACGCACCCCTGAACATGCTCTTTGTTGCAGGACAAATTGTCCCGCTCTAGGCAAACTGCCCTTGCCCAGCTCTTCCTGGCCTGTTGGAGCAGCCAGGGCACACATGGAGCATACTGCAGGACCAAGGCTCCATTTGATCCAACACACATGCTACTGTAGCATACTCTGCGTCACTTTTTTTTTTTTTTTTTCCCCCTGGTACACTTTTTTTGCTACTGAAAATCCTGGGGCCAATTTTGCCCCCATACTGCAAATTTGCAGCACAGGGCATGTTTTAACGTTCCACGTGTGCAGTTTGCAGCACCACAAACCTCATGACCCTGCTTATCTGGACATGGCTATGGAATGCTATTTAATGCTAAGGACACTTTTTAAGTTGGCTCCCAAGCATTTCAAATTGAGCATCTAAAATTAGAGGAGGCTCTTCACCTTAATGACTCTGCCCCAGTTCTCCATTTTACAGCCGAGTAATCTGATACCCCTTTCATCTCGCTGCAAAATTGGGAAAATAAATCTACCCTTGAAGAAATGAATAGTTCTGTTTTTTGAGTAGGGTTTGAGTAGTGTGCAGTAAGGCATGCAACTGGGTTTTTAACAGTAGGGAGAAAACTAAATATTGAGTGAATACTGTCCCTTCTTTGCCTTGAAATAAGATAGGGCCATGTGGAAGAATAGGAGGTGATCATACAATTATGACTGCATCATAATCCTATGCACAAGGAGACTGAATTAAGGTTGCTCAGGCAACCTTAACTCTATAGTATTTCTAAACTTTTGAGTGCTTCACTTTGCAACCTCTATTCATGTTTTGTTTAACATAGTGGTTTTGTGTGCACATACATAAAACAGCACAATCTTATCTCTGTCCTGTTGTTCATGGGCACCAAATGATCAAAAACTGAGGGTCCAGCATACACAGGCAGTGGTAAATTTTTGCTTCTCCTTTGTGTGCTTGCATCAGCATGAAATGGATTTTAAAATCTTTGTGTTCATAGTTCCAACACCTTCATTTGCACTTTGCATTCTAGCTGCTGATATGCTCAGTGAGAATCACTATGTAAACACAAACTGGGTCAGAGATGCTCTCTTGGATTAATTCCCACAACAGCTTCAGGACTAGAATGGCAATTTCTGCAAGACTCTACACAGATAGAATCTCAGTGGGTTCCACAACAAACCCTTTGTAATAAAAGACCTTGAGAAGCTGTTTATTTTCCAGCAGGTTTTCAAGCGTGCCTGAATGGTATTCGTCCTAGTCAGGACACGTCAATGAAATGTGTAACAGTGAGCCATTTATATGGTTCTTGATATGACTTCTAGCTAACCACACTGGCTTGTTTTTAATACTGTATCATTTAATTGGTATATGTAAAGTAGCCAAAGTTCCATATGCAGAGATGTGTTTGCTTTATATAGGGTCATTAGAAAGAGCAGGAGGTATGCCTTTCTCATGATCAAGTGGAAAGAGGTTTCTGGAGGTATCCATCTCACTGAGTGCCTGCTGAAATTATTATTTTAATGCTGCTAGAATGTTGTATTTTGTGTATCAGTAATGATTTGTTAGGGTGCCTATAGCCTTTGATAAGAGTGGTCTTGGTGTTTAGATTTAACCATTTAATTATTCATTATAAACTTAGTTGGTTCCCTTGTTTCTGAACATTATTCAGATATTTTGGTAGGTTGCCTGAGAGCAGTCATTTCAGAGGTATTGTTGGACTTGTATATGCAAGTCTGAAAACTCAAAATGGAGGCATAGAAGAGCTTCTATGTGTATTTAGGATAACTTTATGTATGCAGCATTTTCAAGAGAACACTGATGGTTTTGAGCAGCTAAGCACGCAAATTGCCTGTGAAGGGAACCATCATGGTTCTGTGTAGACATTCATCTGCTTAGCAGGGTGAATGCTCTATGCCTCCTGAAGCACTGATTTGTCTGTGGCTCCCAATTTTGTTCATGGCTTCTACTGAACTGTACATTTTCTATTGTTCTTTGATCTGTGCTTTGTTGAGGTTTGATGGCTATTTTAAGTATAGGTTATTCCTGAACTTTCATATAGCACCTTTCCTGATTTCTACATAGTGTCATGTCACTGATATAGCTTAACTGTTAACCAAGTGGAACTTTTTGCTCACTTTGATGTTCTCTTCTTTTGTTAGAGTAAACAGGGAAAAAATGACTATGCTGCCCTTTACTCACTGTACACTGATCAATCAGAAGCTCCACAGACATTATTAAAATGTAGGTATACACCCCCTGTTAAAACACCACCTACCCCAGTTTGAAAACCACTGCAGTAAATGGAGTAATCTCATTGCTGTGCATTGCCATTGACGTCAACGCCTGTTGGTGTCAAGTGTAGGAGTATGAGTAGCATTTTGCACGTAAAGGGGTACACGGCCAAAAAAGCTTGAAAACTACTGATTTTGTGTATTAAGTCAAGTTAAAATGGAAGCCAGGACCTGATGAGTTGCCTATGTTGGAATGCAGAGAAATGAGTCATGGAACCTGGCAGACTCCATGTCACACACTGTCATGACATTTCACAATTATCTTCGTCACTTCAATATTTTTTCTTCTTCCACCCCATCAAAAAATTGAGCAGTACTGAACACCCTAATTTTTCATGAATATATGTATAAATCAAGTCAAAACATTTTACCTTGAGTTCTGATTGGAAGGATGAGGGTCCAAAAATGTACAACAGTTGATTTCATGATGTTTTGTTCCGTAAGGTGAACCTTCTGTATTGTGTTCCATCTATAAAATGTGGTTATTAAAATGATATTGCTCTGCTTTTTTGTTAACTTTCTACTCAAGTTCCTTTTAATAATTTCAGACTTATTTTTAAGGCTAGCGAAACATCAAGTAAATGACAACTTCTAGCTGGCCTAAGCTGGCTCACACTAGTCAAGCAGCTAGAGCTCCACCCACTCATACCATCAGCAATTTAGCCTTATGCATTGAACAGCATTACTTCAAGTGCTTTTAAAAATGTAACAAAGTTTGACACTCAGGACTGCTCTGTGAAGCAATTTTTATATAAATATATTGCGATTTATATTTTATTGCAGTAAAATGGTTTGTGAACATCTCCTTTTTGTCGTCTTCTGTTTTCCAGCAGCTTGAATTAGTGGAACCAAGTGGCTGGGTTCATGTTCTTTTGACTGATTCTCATAAGAAGCCTATTCGCACCTTATTCATGTTCCTTTAACTGATTCTCATAAGAAGCCTATTCGCACCTTTATGATTCAGATTGCTGTTTTAGCCAATCACCAAAATGGAAGAGACACTCACATGAGACAAATTAAAGTGTATACCCCAGTGGAAGAGAGCTCCATTGGAAAATTTCCCAGATGTACAACGATTGATTTCATGATGTATCGTTCCATAAGGTGAATCTTCTTATAAAGGAATAATAAAAGGGAATTTTTGTTATCGGTATTATGTTTCAATTTTTTTCATTAAAAGTCTCGCATTTTTTATTTTTGTGTAATTATATCTGTACAGTTAAATTTTTTTGTATAGTTTTTAAATAAAGACTTTAAGAATCTGCTTGATAATTGCATTTTCTATCCATTATACTTACAAAATGTTGGTGCTTTTAATAATCAAAAAGCATATTAAGATATTTCTCATTTGTGTTCATATGAAATGGATAACTGTAGTGCCTGTAACATGGAAAAAGTTCTTTCCTGATGATTTCCTTTCACTAGGATACTTTACTTTGTATTATGAGAGTTTGTTTGGGATCTTAAGAAACGTTGTTTATTTAGGCACAATTCTTTAATAGATTACTATGATTCTATTACTACTTTTGTTGTGTGTAGAAAATTTCTTTTTAAAGGTATTTGTCTTGTACCAAGCATATATTTTCACTGTTGAATAGAGAATGTTTCATTTCTGGTGAGAAGTGTATTATTTTAACAGTCTTTAATTTAATGTAATTTTTTTCCTTCTGCTAAGTCACTGTGGTTTTCTCTCTTCTACATAAAACAGATTAAGTTAAATAGTTTAGTGAAGGAAGGTAAGCTTTTTCTAACCCTGTATTCTGTATGACTGGTATTGATGGTATATAACCTCATTGTAATGTAACAGTGGAAATGCATGGGATGTGCAGATGCCATTCCTCAGCATCACTTCTAAGCACCCTTGAGGTTCCATTGATCACAAAAAATATTAAGAATTCAAGTAATTTGTATAATGCCGAGCAACGTCACACTTAAGTCATGGACTTTCGTAAGAGAATAAAAACGTTGAAGCATTTTGACATAACACCACATGGCAAACCCCTAATCTACGTATGATCTATTTATTAATAAAAATAAATACATAGCTTGAATGTGGCTTATAGTTTTGTGCAGGAGGTAAATCCCCCATAAAAAGAGGAATCAGAAAAGTAATTTTTTTCTTTGTAAAATCTGAAGTACAAGGATGGAATTTTAAAAAGTGTTCACAATTGGCCCTCTTTCTCCTGATGTAGAAGTTGATAGTAGCTTCCCATCATCAGGAGAAAATTTAGGCCATAAGTTTTGCAAACCATCGATCAAAAACGAAGAAAATTAAACTCTGAATTAGATTACTAGCCCTGGTATCGAGGTGGCTCTTTTGAAAGTGCAATCGATCTTTCTGGGGGATACCACCTTGATACCGCATGAAGAATTGCTGTAGTACAAAAAGAAAATCCTCACAAATCACACACCATACTAGAAGAAGACCCAGTTCTTAAAGAGATCTTTCTAGAACCAGCCATCCTAGCTTTTAAACAAGCACCAAACCTTGTTAACCTCATCACCAGAAGCAAACTGCCTATGACCCAAACCACACCCAATGGATCCAGACCGTGCTGGGACAAGAAATGTAAAACCTGCCAACACATCTCTGCTACTCCCACAATAACTACACCCCACAACAGAACCATCATCATGCCTGGATCTTATACCTGCACCTCCAGAAATGTAAAATATCTAGTTCACTAAATGCCCTGATGGCAAATATGTAGGAGAAACCAAACAACACCTGTGCACCAGAATGAGTGCACGCTGAAAATCTATCAAAGAAAAGTAATACCCAATTACCTGTGCGTGCACACTTCTTACAAGGCAATCACTCTCTCTTTCCAATCTCTCAGTTCTAATCCTCAAAGGGAACTTACAAACCACCTTTCATAGATGAGCCTATGACCTTCACTTCATAAATCTACTGGCTACAAAAAATCATGGACTGAATATAGACATTGGATTTATGATGCATTACAACCTGCGTGGCATCTAACACACCAGATAACCTGCCTTTTAGCTGATGACCTGCATTCCTTCACACTCCCCACTCCACCCTCATCTCCACCCTTTGTCTTCCAAACTTCCACTCATTTGCATCTTCAGAGACATCTGTTTACCCTAGCTGCTTTTTTATCGTGGAGACCTCAAAATGGCAGCAGAGTCTCTCAATGCCTAGGAATGGTGTTTGTGCCCAAAAGCTTGCAAAGAACTTTTTCCAACTATTAGTTGGTCTAATAAAAGATGTCACATCCACCCAAAACACTTTGCCTAATCCTGTACAACACCCTTAAAAGGATTTCATAGTGTCCCAGGTTCCTGGGGTTTCATATCACAATTTACAGGAAAGGACACACACATTAATTTTGATAGGGACATGTTTTCCTATAACTTGAGTAGCTCTGCATTCAACAAGTGCTAGGCAAAAAGCTTGCTTATTGGAAGCTGACAAAAACCAATATCCTGAAGTATACAATAGACATTAACTTAGACACCACGGTGGCATACTCCTAGAACAGTCTCAGATACAGTTTACTCTGTCCTTTAAAGTATTTACCTATTATCTATAAGCACATTTTGTTTAATAAGTAGAAACTGGCAAGAGTGAGGAAACAAGGGAAGAGCAGGATCCACCAGTGGTGAAAGCCCCCTCTGCCTCAGTGGTAGCTAGATTAGATGGTTATGCCCCAAACCGTGGCTTTTCCCTTGCGGGCTATCAGTTCCAGCCTTAAAGGGCTGCTTGCCCCTGCCCCACACACTCCCACCCTGTCCCACACACCCACCCCCTGTCCCATACACTGTGGGGCTGAGGCCTGGGGGACAGTGGGTTGGGAGTGAGTGGCATTGGGTTGGGACTGGCCATCAATATTTATAAATGGCTCCTGGTACAAAAAAGGTTGAGAATCACTGCCTACTCCTCTCCCATATGCTCCTGCTTTGTCTTGGCAAGAGTTGACCTTTCAGTTTCAAAGGTTTGTTGTTGTTTGTTTGTTTTTTTATGGCCCTATGCCTTTTGGGGGCTGCCATATTCATTCAGCTTAGATGGTGGCTTTTGTCCAAGAAGAGGGGGATGGGGAGCCTTGCTTGTGCGACAGTGGGATAGGTTATCAGTCCTGGCCAAACTCCAGCTTGGGTGTTAATATTGCCATTCTAAATACCCAGCTGGAACTGCAGAGAGCATAACAGTGATTTGATAACTATTAAACTCTGTTATTCAATTGTTTTCCTTGATTGGCTTTGCTAGAACAGCATGCGATTAAGTGATTCTCTATGCAAAGGTTTATATTTTAGTGAAGCCTTTTAAGATGCTTTTGGATCAGTAGACTGAAAGACAATATGTAAATGCAAGATTTGTTTTAAAAAAGTCATTTTTCTCGTTTCCTGACATTCAGCATCACTGCAAACAAGCACAACAGATCACCTAAACTCCTGTAACAATGCCTGTACATTTTTAGTTAATTTATATGCCACACTTCATAACAATTACAGATGCAGCATGTGGTATTTAACACCTGCAGAGGTATATTTGTTGTTACAATTTTTTGGCAGTTTGTGATATAGGATTGGTGAGTTTTAAAGCTATCTGTAAAACAGCTCAATCCCAGAGGATTTTATTTCTGAAAAACAAAAAGAAAATGTTAACTGCACAAAGTAGGCAACCATTGATCCTCTGGATCATGGTGTATGCATAAGAGATTGTCAGGTGCCTGGTGAATCAAAATGTACAGAGTCCTGTGATCATTGCAAAGCCTTCACCGTGTTTGCCTAAGTAAGAGTATGGAAGAGTGAAGGCTGCCCAAGACCTACCCCCTGCTTCTTGTGAGCAACAGATAAGAACAGTATATGCAGTAAATCTCTATATGTACTGTATTAGAATTAATGGAAGCATACTGATTTGCTGCAGACTGGCTTCTGAGGAAAGTGGCTACCCAACAGAGGCATCAGTTATGGACTGTCTTTAGTGATGTTAGGCATCAGACTGGTTGCCAACATATGAATAGCCTTTCTTTGCATTACCAACCTCCAAAAGATGTAAACATTCTTGAGTTTAGAACAAATGTACTGTTAAAAGCACTCTATATGAATTCAGTAATATTTTAAATGTTTTCATGTTGGCTACTTACGAATTTTGAATACATAAAGTTAGGTCAAATATAAAATACCTGGGAGAGCATTTTAGCTTAAAGTTTTAATCTAGGCAATAGGAATAGGACTAACATCTCAGTTAACAACAGGCAACTTCCTTTGCAACATTCTGTAGTGGATTGTGTTCAGATGAAGGTGATGCTTTACTGCATACCCCAGTACTATTCATTTTATTCTCCCCATCTTAATTCTTGTTCAAGAGACAATACTGGGGAACTGGCACTAACTCAGCAAATATGAGCTGTCACTATAGTTTGTGGAAACTAATATAGAGCTACGTCAAGAAATAGGGAAAGTTAATTTTTTTTTCTTGGAGTTTGAGATTTAGATGAATGTCACAGAATTGAAAACTAGGGCATTCTCTGCCTGCTTAAAATATGGTTCCTCTTTTTTAATTTTATGGACAAACTTACCAGTAATCTACCAGCTGCCCGATAAGTCTTTTCTCTTCCTTTGTGTTATTTTTTTACTTTAAAATGGACAAATATCACAGATGCTCACATATGTTTGCTTATTGTACTTGCTAAGAACTATAATAGCCTTGTACGTTGTAGTAAGACTACGTCAGCGTTTGGCTAACTTATCTGAAAAACCGCCAAAACAAACAGCATGTGCAAAACCTCAGGTGACAAACTATGTTGACTGTTTGTCTTAAATAACTTTGGTACATGGGAGTGGGAAAAAGGGTTATGAAAAAGTAAACAGAAAAACACCCACCACTAGAAAAGGTTGTTATACAAAGAACGCATAGTGCATTTGTTAAACTAAAATTAAAATACATTGTTGTATTAGCTTATATAGAGACAATTTACTGATTAAAGATATTCAAGGTTTCATAGTCATTGTATTAGCTCTGATGTCCCATCTTATAACTACTTACTGTTGCACTAAAGACAGTATACAAAGTTTGATTGGGAGTTAAAATTCTACTTTAAGTCACTTTGACCATTTAACACTTTTTTTCTAAAAATTCCTTTAAGTAATGTCTTATGTGAATATTCCAGTGTGATATCA